TAAATCATAAACTTGTTTACACGACTATTTGTATCTCCATATACATATAGCCGTTTGCCTCTTTCGTAATAGCAAATAACTCAATCCTCTTAAAAGCGTAACCGCACTAATCATACACTTTACTTAGCATAAATCGCCATTCTTGTTTGAATTACTTAACTTACCCGTCGCTATAGTAAAACGTTATACCGGGGTAGTTCCGGGTGTAACACATCCCTATCCAGTTTTTGGTAAAACCGATTGATAATTTCGATCATCTTTGCTTTCAACACGTCTATGACTTGCTCACGTGAAGTTCGAAACTTTCAAATCGAATAGAGTACTGATTTTATTAGTTGTTTCGTTTAAAAAACAAAACAAATAAATGTAATAGCTTTGTGTTACATACTTATATTGACAGAATCACTCCTAATAAAAGTTGGTGGACTGCCGGGTCCCACTGGATCTAAAACGTTAATATGAAAAATATACTTTCAATATACGAACTTACAAAATTTGATAGCTTTAATTAAGCAAAAATTTTTTTGCCAATTTCTAGTTAAAAATTCTATTAAACTCTGATCCAAACTGCGACGCATAGTATTATACAACATTTCTGACCCATCCAAACTCTCCACAACAGGCTACTAACAGTCGGCAGCAGCAGTGTTAATTTTTCAGTTAAAATTTACTGTGCGGATACCGCACAATTTAGAAACTTCTCTGTGCGGCAAATCAAGAAAAACTATAAGTAATTTACAAGTTGTGCGCACTACTTACAAAATGTTAATTTTTTCTGTGCGGCATCCGCACATCTGTTCAAAAGAAAATGTGCGCACATTTTGTTTCTGTGTGCTGCGCACAGTCCGCACAGCGAAAAATAATCACTGGGCAGCAGTATTGCTTATTCAATTCCTACCTGGTTTTTACAGCGATTCCCAGCGCAATTACTATTGCTAATTTCCGGGATAATCATAGTTTCAGTGCCTATTACTCTTCATACATGTATATTTCCATATTATCTCAAATAAAATTATTCCTGGCTCATATGACGTGTGCATGCGAGGGTTTTACTTATTTTCGCGGGTAATACAAACCAAAATCTGAATTTGTAAATAAACTAAGTGTGTGGAATGAAAATTTAGGTGTAGGACCTTAATGTTAGAAGCTATAGAAAAAAATATTATCACTTATTATCATTTCCAACATTTTTAATTAGTGCACCAAGTAGTTTTGCTTTTTTCTTCCTTCGCACGTGTTCGGATTTTATCATTCCCTGATTGGCTATTTCCTTTTTAAGAGTTTGTAATACTTGCTAAAATGAGTTCGTTCAGTTTGGTAGATCCATAAAAATTGGCCAATTGTGAGCACGTCATTAATCTATCTCGCTGTATCTCGATATTCATTTCTCTTTTACGTAATGAGGACCTCGCAAAGTTTACTTCAGTTAGCCGGCAAAGTTCCATATAAAAGAACTTTTTTACGCAATTTCAAACTTATAGCCTCAAACATACAACAACGAAGTTATGCAAGTCTTGAAAATGAAGCAGAAAAAACAGCAGAAATACATAAAAAGGTGCCATCAAAAGTAGTTAGTTATACCACTGATATTTATACTCATTTGAAAAGAAACCCGAATTTTAAAGAAGTAAGTTGAAAAATAAAATAAAAAAAATAATTTTTTTGAATGTTTTATCTTAATTGACTCTAATTCTTGCTAAAATTACGTAGCTTTCTCCAGATGACATTAAATTTTTTCAATCAATATTATCACCCAGTGAATTAATTGTAGATAATGGCAATAATCAAGATGATTTAATTCCCTACAATACTGATTGGATGAAAAAATATAGAGGAAAATCAAAATTAGTAGCAAAACCTAAAACTACTGCACAAATTTCCAAGTTAGTCAAGTATTGTAATGAGAAAAAGTTGGCTATCGTACCTCAAGGCGGAAATACTGGCCTCGTTGGTAAGAATGCTTAAACTTTGAATTAAAATTTTTTGCCTTATAAATATTAACTATAATATTTTAGGTGGCAGTGTACCAGTATTTGATGAAATTGTTATCAGTACTAATAATTTAAATAAAATAAGAAATTTTGATCCTTTATCTGGTATGAAATTATAAATGTTCGTTCTATATATGAAATATGGTTTATTCTTTTTGCATAATAGGTACTCTTGTATGTGACTCCGGTTGCATTCTTGAAGTTCTTGATAATTATCTTGCTGAACAAGGCTATATGGTACCATTGGATTTAGGAGCCAAAGGCAGGTAAATGTTTTTTTTTTTTTTTTTTTACTTTTATATTGTCCAAATGTTTGCTATATCTTAAATTTTATTAGTTGCCATATTGGCGGTAATGTTGCAACGAATGCTGGCGGGATAAGATTATTGCGGTACGGTTCTCTTCATGGCACAGTATTAGGATTAGAAGTGGTAATGCTATGAGTCTACACATAAATGTTACTTGCATAAAATGAGCGAACTATTTTAAGCAATATTTTAAACAGGTACTTCCCGATGGAACCATCTTAGATAATCTTTCGACACTCCGTAAAGATAACACTGGTGGGATAATATGGATATTTGATGCTATTACGTTTGGCATACATATTTCATGTATTTTAAATAACAATGCCATCAAATGTAGGTTACGACATTAAACATTTATTCATTGGCTCAGAAGGTACTCTGGGTATAATTACCGGAGTTTCAATTTTAACACCCAAGCGTCCTAAGGTATAAGAACGAGCTTTCTTATATAAAAAAGTTTTTTTTTTTTTGATCGACTCACACGACATTTATTATCCGATAGTCGGTCAATGTCGCTGTATTTTGTTTAAATTCTTTTCAAAAGGTCCAAGAAGCATTTATCATATCCAAAGGAGAATTATCAGAAATTTTATCAGGTATCGGATAAAAACCTTAAAATCTAGTTAGAATGTATAATATAAACATTACTGATTTTGGATGACATATATAGCTTTTGAATTCTGGGATGTTAATGCACTTAAATTGGTAAAAAATCATCTTGTTCAGGGAGCAAGTTTTCCATTAGAAGACAAATATCCCTTTTACATTTTGGTTGAGACTAGTGCCTCCAATAAAGATCACAACGACGAAGTGGGTCTAACTTTTAATTATAGTAAACAATCAATCTTGTTTTTTCATTTTTATTTTTTATTTAGTTTTTTTTTCTTTTATATATATATATATATATAGAAACTTAATAATTTTATGGAAATTTTAATGGAAAAAGGAGTTGTTGAGAATGGTGTTGTCGCGCAAGATAATACACAAATTCGAAATCTATGGGCAATTAGAGAAGGGATACCCGAGGCCGGTGGTAAGGCCGGTTCGGTGTATAAATATGATCTATCTATACCAGTACCAGTTTTTTACAATATAATTGAAGATATGGGAAATAGGTTAAAGGATGCTGGTATATTTGGCAAGGATAAACTTGTAACAGATGTTGTTGGGTACGGTCACATTGGTGATGGTGAGTTCTCTTTTAAAAGTAACAGTATTTCACATTTGAGTTGAAAAATATGCTTATCTTTATTAATTTGTTATTTAACAGGTAATGTACACTTAAATATCGTTGCAAAATCATATTCCCCCGAGGTCGCCAAACTGACAGAGCCTTATGTTTATGAATGGACAGGTAAACGAAAGCACTTAAAATTTCTTACAAAACAATATTAATTTTATGAAATATATTTATTAAATATTTATGAAATTTTTTTATTCTAGAGAAACATAAAGGATCTATTTCAGCAGGTAGTATCTTTTTATCCACACCTTTTTTTTTCTAGTCTTTCTAACCCTTGTTTATCTGCGCACATCAAATAGAACACGGTCTAGGTCTAATGAAAGCTGATTGTATAGGATATTCTAAATCACAAAAAATGATCAGCATGATGAAGCAGATAAAACAAAGTATTGATCCAAATGGTATCATGAATCCTTATAAATATATTTTATAATTAATATGATTAAATAGATGACTCAATTAAATAGGACCGAACCCAGGAATATAATGTTTAATATGTCTATTTATTTTTATTAACATTTTGGATTTATCGTGTTTAATTTTAGTTAAATGAGATTTTTATTTTTGTCAACAATCTAAAATCTAAAAAAAAAATATTAAAAAAGCTTCAAAATGCCAATTTTTTGTTATTATATTTATATTAGTCAATATTTATAATATCATATGATAAACAAGATTTTGTCTAATATTATAACGCTTGCCGTCCTTTAGTTTCAATTGGTAGCAAAACCATACAAACTCCTGCTATTGAAAAAAGAGTGGCAGATACATATATTGGTACTACCAAGTGTATTGATAAAAGATTTCCCGTGATCACTGGGCCAATTATACCGGTTCTATAATATATGTGTTATTAACATGATTGTATCAGTGATGAGTAAAAGAAAAACTAAGAAAAAAACTCACATTCTTGCACATGCAGAAGCAATCCCATTTGCAGTACCCCTGACTTTTGTTTCAAATACTTCAGCAGTATATCCATAGATAACTGCATATTTAATAGTAGTGAATAAACTAATAGCTGAACAACATATAATTGTTCCAATTCTTGTTGTAAGAACGGAAAACATGAAAACAGAAATAGATGTGCCGAAAGCACCAGCCGCCATTGTGTATCTTCTACCAAGTGGTGTATCAATTAACCAAGTTCCAATTAAAGAACCCGGTATTCCCCAAGCGGAATATACAAGTATATCCTTTAAAACTTGAGCTAATACGTCCGAATGATTAGACTCATTACCCTCTGCCAATGCTTCGAGATATTTTGGAAGAAACAAGTTGAACATTAAAAATGCCAATGATACTATAGACCATATCATCCATACGAGAATAGTCGTTCTAATCCATTTAGGTGTAAAAAGAGGAGCCAAATCATGACGTTTTGTTGAAATACGATGTTTTATGAAAAGTATAGGATCAGCAAAAAAATTTTTATATTGATAATGTTTATCGGAGAGCATAGTGGCAGGTGGGTATGTCATTGATATGGATACTCTACGAGGAGCTTCATCAGGGACTGTTAGATCACTAGCATCAACCGAAATTTCACGACCGTTGATTTTGGCTATATCACGTAAAACTATTACAGCATCATGGTGTCTGTTACTTGCCATAAGAAATTTTGGTGATTCTTTAAGACCAAAGAGAAGCACGCGACCTAAAAGCATAAGAAATGTCTAGAAGAAAAAAAAAATTAAAAGATATTTAAAAAAACTTTTTTTTTTTTTTGAAGTGATGATCTTACCAAACATCCTAAAATAGCTAACAAATATCTCCATCCATTATTTTTTGAAATATCACAGGAAATATCATCAGGACAACTATTTTGAGGTAATACTATATATGCAACTATAGCGGTAATAACACCTCCAAATGGCCAGAATATAGACATAAATGTGAGAAGATGCTGCTGGTCTTTGGGGACGAATTCCAAAAAAATTGTACCTATAAATTCAATTAATCCAATTAATAGAGGATTAAGTGCATGTATGTATGTATGTATGTATGTATGTATTTATGTAAGAGTAAATAGCTATGACGAAGAATCTAATAATCGGAAGTAAAG